CTTTTAAATGTCTCAAGCCAATGGAGATAGAGCTCTTGGGAAAGGAGTCCAATGACTAATGTATTTTATACTACATCTGAAAGAGAAACAACACTTTGCATTACAATTGCAAAGTCAAGCACATGAAAAGCAGGAAAAGCCAGAATTAAATCTGCTGTTGAAACCTTGTTCTTAAAAGGCATCCTTGTCCCCCAATGCACACAGATGCACACTGTCATGGATACTGCATGCTACAAATAGCACAAGCATACTAATAAGTGCTACAGTTGCATCCTCTGTTTTTTGCCTGGAAATCCCCCATTTCTTCAGCATCTGGGCTTACAGTGCTGCAAAGGGTGGTTTTGAAATGACCCTTTATCCTGCCTGATTACTTTTTCCACTATAGCAGACAATAATCCTCACGCCATCTCTAAGCCAGCCTGAAAATGGCACAGGGAGCACTGAAGAGTGCAGATACACCTTGAGCAGGATAGCTGAAACCCGCAGCACAGCTCAGAGCCACGCTTATACTATGGGACAAGGCCCGTGGTGCTCACTCACCGCCTCTGAGATCTGAGGAAGCTGCCACATAGGCAAAAGTATCCAAGTTGATGATGTCAATAACAGGGCTGACCACGCGTGTGGGGTCCTGGAAAGCAGAAACAAAAGGACCTGTGACTTCAGATCACACCATTCAGCAAGTGGCCAATGGGTGGCCCAGTCTCTCGGATCTGCCAAGCAGATGGAAACTTCAGTGGTAATTTTGGTGGTTTGGTGGCTTGTTATGGACATGTGCCCATCACTGCCTCCTCCACTGTCACAACAATTCAAGCCACGACTGAATGGTAGCAGAGGAGCCTCAGGGCAAGTCACCAAGAGAAGGTGAGCAGGTGGGCAGCTGGGCAGAGCAAAGCCTCTGCAGGATGCAAACCTCTGTCTGCCTTTTGCACATTCATTGGTGTATTCCCCTCTCACCTCCTTCAAGTACACTTCACTGAATTTCAAAAGTCAGGTAACAAATGGGCATTTGAAATGAGGAAAAAAACCCACAACTGGCCAAGCAGCATAACCACACTGTGTGTAATCACAGGAAATTGTTGAATGCACAAATTAAGGGGATATAGTTGTAGTTTTGCCAGAGATGCGAAAGGGTTAAAACAACAACAACACAGAAACAACTGCAAGTTATTTTAAATAGTTGGTGGTGATTTAATTAGCATCTTCTTATGGGCAAAGAACTTATACAAACAGTTACAAACAAAAACAGCTACAGGAGGAAGACTGACAGCTTTGGCTGCTCTCTTATCTCCCTTTTCCTTTTCAAAAATCCCAAACTCCAATTATACCTCAAACTTCAAGCTCTCACCCTCACCAGATCAAAACATTTTTCACAGCTATGCAGAGGAAAGCATCTGAGCACACATACCCTTGCTCTCACTCTCTGAAAAAGCTTTGTTTTAGAAAATGCTCCTAACAGAAAGCACTCGAGTGCAGCTAGAAGAAGCTAGAAGAAGGAACCAAATGCCACAAGCTGTGCTGGGGACTTAGAATCATAGACTGTGAATGACAGAATGGCTTGGGTTGGAAGGGACATTAAAGCCCATCCAGCCCCAATGCCCTGCCATGGGCAGGGCTGCCCCACCAGCTCAGGCTGCCCAGGACCCATCCAACCTGGCCAACCTGTGCAAGGCAAACAACCCACCAAAGCAGCGAAGTTTGCTGCACCCACACGTTGTGTGAAGGAGCTCCAGCCCAGAGACAAGCCACTCGCACACAAGAGCAATGAAACCATCAGAGCTTTTCTAGTTGTCCTTGTCCACCCATGTGGACACCAACACAGGCCATGGTGTGGAGGAACAAAGAGTGGTCCCCACCCCAGCTGCCCATCTTGCTGGTTCTTGACCAGCACACTGCTCAGCCAAAATCCCTTCATTGCAGGCATACTGTGACACTGCTCAGCACACCCTTTGTGTTGGTTGAAGGCAGGGTAAGGCTTTAAACAAAGGCAATGGAAGCAGAATAGCAATTACTGTATGCACAGCACTGGGAATGGATTGTATCTGGTCATTTAAAAACTGTACCTCAAGCAACTTACTAGTGAGCACTTCTAATGAGCCCACATTCACTCCCAGTTTCAGTTCCACTCCTGCTCATTACGTGACACAGCTTCTTACAGGAAAATCCCCTTTACCTTCTGACTGCCTAAAATACTGCAAAGGTTTGACTTTCAGCCCTGTCCATGACTCACTTTCCCTGCCATATAACATTTATATTTGCTCACATTCCATGAAGGTGTCTCTGATCCTCAAACAAAAAGCACTGTGTGCTCAGGAGCACAGTGCTGCTGCTGTTATTTACGTGGGGCTGAACACCAGATCTTAATATAGGTAGCTCCAACCTTCTGGTTTTCACTTGCTCTACAGTTCAGGATTGCTGCCGTACCAGGACGTGCTAATATCCACAACATTCAAATCTTCAATTCTCTTTCATGTGAAACTCTCAAAAATGTAAAAATGCATTTCTTCAGTGTATATTTCAAACAAAAAACATTATGAAACTAAACAAACAGCACAAAACTCTAAAAACTTCCTTAAAATAAAGTAACGTGTTTTAACAGTAGAGGACAATAGAGGACAATGACTACAGCTTGTCTTCAGCTCTGTGGCAGCCACCCATTCCTTCCAATGGTCAACAAAAAGAGCGAGGAGAGAGGGTAAGGTAGGTAAGATTGCCCCTCATCTGCCTCCTCTACCCTAGGAGAGCACCAAATTGTAGGAGCTGGAAGTGGGAGGTCACCATTCACTGCTTCATCCCACCAATGTTAACGAATCCTGTTTTGAGGTATGCTCATTGATTCATACCATAAAAATACTGTAGGCTCAATAATTATAGCCTTAGCCACGCTATTCAATTGAAATGTGACGTTAATGGCTTCAGATATATTTGTTCCCTAAGTAAAAACAAAAGAGATGTGCCCACACGCTCACAGTCATACACTCACAAACATGTTTTTGCAAAAGAGCCACAGCTGCTGTGGTTTCTTTGGACATGCACCATCCTGGGCACAGACCCGCACGCCTCTGAAGCAGGAACATGCCTGCACCTTTGCCCACTCCGACCCTTTCACTGGCTCTTGGGCCTTCTCTCTTCTCTTTGCATGAGAAAGAAAAAGCAAAGCAACTCGCAGGGTGACTGGTGATGGGAGAGCATTGGCTCAAGGTGGTTTCTACTGTCTTACTTGAAACTCCAGAGCCAAGCTGACTCATCCTACCTGTGACATGGTAAGAAAATGCTCCTGTAAGAAGGGTAATCCTCATTGCAGCAGGGACCTGTCTCTTGGGCACAGCCTGAAGGTGGCAGCAGTAACATGTCATACAGCCCATGGATCACTACGTAACCCTGATGGCCAGGACAGGTGCAGCAGGGTTGGGCAGGAGGAAAGCAATGACCTGTTGCCCTCATCCTGCTGCATCTACAAGCAATTAAAAAGCAAACAAGCAGGACTAAACGGAAGCAAAGCACCCTTTCAGAAATACTTTCCATGCTGTCTGTCAGACGCAATGGCACCACTGCTACTACGGTACATCAAAATCCCTGTAAAGAAGTTGCAGTGGTATCTAGATTCATCCACCCCACAAAGCTGCATCAGAAAGCTGGTTTTCAAGTTGGGTTTCACAGCTCATGCTATTGAAATTCCACAGGAGTTGTGACCAATAACACAAAAATGCCATTTTCACTCCATTACTATTTACCAGCAGCACGATGGGACAGCCTTCTAACTGAGGTTGGGACCTGTTCTGTGCTGAGGGTGCCAGCAACACCAACAACCTTTGCCCAACGATAGGCCCTAACCTGCTGCTGTTCAGATTTCTCCAGAAGCCAGTGCCTTGGCTTCCTTCCTTGCTGCATCCTTTTACTCCTCGGCTGCCCCTATATCAACACCATTCACTAACTGTAAAATTACTGAGTAGCTAATACTAGCAATAAGGAGCAAGAGATGGAATAGCAATGGAGGAACAAGGCACAGCAAAGTGACGTGACCATCCATCCATGCCACAGCTAGAGGTTTTCTCACACCCTGCCATGCCCCAGGCTGCCGGCACAGGGCTCGTGCTGACTCGAGTGACAAGGCACCACTGAGCCTCCTCATGCACATCCAGCTAGCGCTGCCGACTCGGTGAAAGGCGAGTGTCATTGTCTGCTCTGAAATCAGCAGAATTTAAATCCTATTAAATCAATTTATTAGTGCTTAATTTGCATGAAATTAAATTCGGCCCCTATTCAAGGAGCCGTCACTCCTTTAAATCATTGGCATTGAGCATTTTTACATAAGCCTAATTAAAAACCTTGCTGGAGCCCAGCGCAGCAATTCCCCTTTCAAGGCGCAATCCATGCTTGTGAAGTCACAGATCTACTGCCCCAGGAGACACCCCATCCCACCTGACCACACACACTCTCAAAGACACAAAAAAGACCTGAAAAGGTTACTTGGCACTCCAAAAGCTCCTTGTTTTCTTGTTAAATGCCTTCACACAGTTGGACAAAGTTGGGTGGTAATGGCCAGTAGGAGAGAAGAGGGGATGAACATCCCCTAAGGGTGATTCTGGTCCCTTGGGACACTCACCTCTTTGATCCTCTGCAACAGTGGGAGCAGCCAGTCCTTATTCACCTCACAGTGACTGTCCAGGAAGGTCAGGACTCCTGCTTGAGCCACATCTGCCCCTTGAATGCGGGACCGGATCAGACCTGTTCGGGGACACACCACATCAGCTTCCTCCAAGTTGGCTGGGCAGTATCCTCACATAGCCTTCTGGAGGCTCCTTACACACCCCCAAGGGCTTTGACCCATCTAAATCCCATTCAGATAAAATATGGTTCAGGTTCCTCACTGCTTTTCCAGCACCACGAGCCGTGCCAGCCATTTCCCAGTGTCACCAAAGCAAATAAAAAGTTCCACTTGCATCAATAATTTATAGCATTCATGCCAAACCTTAAATTTTGTAACTGTCTCCACTGTTCCAGGGCAAAACAGAACTTGAAATGCTTCAGAATGTCTTCAGAAGACAGAAGAGAACCTAAAGTCTTTCCCTTACTCATCACCAGTGCACACGTGGTGAGACCAATTCCACATTAGAACCATGGTTTCCAGTGCTCCTAATCCCTGTGTTAAACCCCCTACACAGCTCTTAGTGAGGAGATGAGGGTGGGACCTTTTGAGGCCTCTCTTGCACCTCTCTTTGATTACCTATTTGGGAATTGCTAACCTGCAGCTCAATGGGAACATCTTTTCTGCTGAGGAAAGAGGATCTGCTCTCCAGGTGCTAAAAACCTTGGCTCAACAGGACCCTGATGGTGAATGCATGGTCCTTAGGAGTTGGACTGCTAAATGAGTTTGAGAGGAAAGAACGAATAGAAGAGGGAGATCAGAAAGCCCATTATTGCCCATATGAATTTCAGACTGGTCTCTTTGGCAAGATCACTGTTAGTGAAGACACTCTACAGGAAACCCATTTAGTAATATAGAAATCAGTTGGCTTTCCATCGCTTCTCCTGCCATGCAGCCAGTTCTCAAGTGAGCTGCAATGGAAGGGGATGATCCACTGACAAACATAAGGACATATGGGGTGTTCAAGGGGAGAAAGGTGTCTTGATGAAGGAGAAACAGGGGCAATGTAAGGTGAGACAGCAGCAAATAGAAAGAGATGCGGGTTTCCAGGGGGGCACACCTTTGGGCCTTATGGAAGGTCACTGACTTTCATATTAAAATTCCATGTAGGAAAAGGACCAAGGAACAGTCTTTGAGTAGGAGGAGGAGGGGCAGAGATAACAAAACCTGGAACAATCCCATGTCTGCCCAGGTCAGCTCCTGCAATACAGTTTGTCCCCACAGTGCTCTCTGCTATGTGGATTCTGAGATCTTGTAGGTAGACACTGCATCCACCCTGTGTCTTCATAAATACTGGTGGGGTCCTGAAGGAGACAGCTTCAACGATGAGCAGGTTCAAGAAAGCCCTTCAGGCTGTGTTCACAAATCCTGACTAGGTTGTGCAGTGCTAATACCTCCAGCTCCATCCAGTGCTGAGGAAGACCATGTAAGCATATGAGCATGTACCCAAATCACAGAGGAGAGGAAGATGGGAAGGAGAAGCAGACTCAAAAGGTTGCAAGAAGTAGCCCAGTAGGGCATCCATCTTTAAAATATAATTAATTACTTTTTTTTTTCTTCTTTTTTTTTTTTTTTAATTCCTGCAGAAGCAGCAGGAACAGTTCTCATCTCTTTCATTAGTGCAAACATCTTTAAAAAGAAGACTGGAGGCTTTGTTTTGCCTGTTCTAATTTTCTGGGTAATAAGCTACAGCTGAGCCATCTCAGATATCTTAATAGACCTTTTTTTTTTTTTTTTTTTTTTTTTTTTTCAGGGACAGGGAGGTAAAATCCATACCAATTCCCAGCCCTCTCTCATGTCTCCTATTATCAGTGCTTTTCCCTGTGTGCTCCATCCACTGGAATAGCTGCCTTCTCTTCCCACCCGCTCCATCACTTTCTCATCTCCCAAAGCCTGGGTTCCTCACCCAGGCCAGGATGACCAGGGTGAGTCGGGGTTCAGGATGTTGGCCCTTACCTTCGCGCTGTCTGTTCCGCAGGCATTTCACCTTGGGTAGCTTGGCCAACAAGCGGCAGTCATCAGCTTTGGAAACACAGAGGGAAGCAACATCACCCATCAGCACTCGGGTGGTCACAAAAATGGCCCCCACACCCTGAGCAGCAGCTCCAGCAACAGCCCCAAGACCACCCAGACCTGAGGTCCTGTGATCCCATTTGCAGCTGCCTTCATTGCTACTTGGCTGACTCCATCAGCATGGGAGAGGAAGACTGAGCACTACTTGGGCTGAGTACGTGGGCAGGAACACCCAGCTCAGCACTCTGAACTCACACCCCATGCATGCACCTCCAAACACATTTTTCCTACTCCAACAGTCTTTTATTTGCAGATACATCCACCACAACGTATGCATGGAGCTGAGGTTATCCGCATGCAGCAAAAGAATAAAGGCAGCAGAAGTTTGGTACGTATATACAATGGAAACTTGATGGGGATAGTGGGAACTCACATGCATGTGCCATCTGCAGGTTGAACAACTGTGTTCCAGTGAACAAAAGGCGGAGTTGGACTCCATGACCTTTGTGGATCCCCTCCAACTCAGAATATTCTGAGGCTGACAGTGGTGAGAAATAAGTCACCACTGGGCATGAGATAAAAGCACCTGTTGCTTGGAGAGGATTGCAGGGAAAACTGACCATGTGTTTATATCATATTATGCAAATGCATACGTTTTATGTAAATGTATGCAAAACATATACTAGGAGGCTCAGACTATCACAGGGAAGAAGGGCCAGATGCAAGACAGCTGAGAAGAGCTGATTTCATGCAGCAAAAAGTTCCCAAACTTGCCCAGCTCAGCCTCCAATCTGCTGGAGTGGCTCTCAAACTCACCACAGACCTGCTGGCCACTGTTTTGCTGATTCCCAGGCAAGGCATCAATGCCAGAGATAGACGGCCAGTAAGTAGTCTGTTGTGAAATCTATTCCTAACATCCTTCAAGGTGGTACCGATTTAGCCACAGTTCACTCAATCAACGTGTAATGCCTTATCCTTTTCATGCCTAAGACTTTTTTTCTTTGAGCGCTTACTTTGCAGCTGGGTCTTCCATTTGCTCATTGCACCATCAAGTTCTTTAGCTGAAGACAACCAGGGTCATTCCCTGAGAGCTCACGGTTTCAGCTATGGACTTCTGCTGGAGACCGGACCTATTGATTTCACCGGAGTCACCCTATTAACCAGCAGGAAGCAGCAAGAGGATGTGGGCTGTATCATATACAGCACTATAGGTGAGGCATTTCAGAAATTGGCAGCTCATGAAGAAAATCCTATTCCACTGTTTACGGCAGTGAAAATCAATCAGGAGCTTCTGGCCATCTACAAAAATGTGTGCAGAGTATATGCTGGGGGGCCAAATAGTCGTGGGAAAGATGGAGGGAGCAGATGCATGCCCAAGTGCCAGTGGTATGAGCCCAAAATTGCTCCTGGCTGCAGCTGAAAGCCAGATCAATCATACCTTCAGCACAATACAGCTAGGTATGGATCAGATTCACAACTACTAGGCATAAAAATGATTTGTCATGTGCTTTTCCTGTATTATTATCCTTAGAACAAATTTGATCATGCAGAATTTGAATTTTCCACATAGCTATGCAGACGTGGGGCAACAGGATTTCCTACCCACACCTACAGAGCTTTAAATTTCCTTTCTTCCCTACAAACTCTCTCAGCAAAAATCTGGACCTCACACCACCCCTTTCAGCTGGGCAGCCCACTTCTAACAGGGAGTCACTTACGATCGTCGCTGAAGTCGTCCACCAGTATGATTTCATGGATGAGGTGCACTGGGGTGCGGTTCATCACACTAAAAGACAGAGAGAGAAAATCTTTGGCAGAGTTTGACCAACTCATCAGCCCAGAAGATGGGAAAGAAAAGCTTGGGAACCAGTCTTTGCAAAAGAATGGCCAGGCTTGTGTTTCTAGAAAGAGTATATAAGAGAAGACCCAGAAACTGGTCTCTGCTTCAGTAACCTGCATTGCCAAGCTATCAGCTGCCCGCAGCCTAATCCAACAGCTAAGCATCTGATATTCTTGGGAAGTAGATGGGATTCACCCTTATCACTATGGTGAGCAAAAGAGAGCAGCCCAGAATACCTGGAGGAAGAGGCTTCATCTACATGCATGTTGCACCAAATTCCCTTTCTGTCATTTTCACATCTCTAATTGGGTAAATGACATGGTGTCCAATGCCAGCCAGGCCAACACAGAGAAAATAGCCCAGCTAAAAACATCATGACACAGCTCACAGCCATGGCAGGGCAATCGTTTTTATCACTGACGTAGTGGTGCTTCAAGGGTTGCAGAGAGGATAAGAACAGAGTCGTAGCCCTCCAGCTCCTTGAAAGAAAAGCTGGAAGATGTAGTTTACAGGTCCCTCCACATGTACAGTCACTGCAAGGTGTATCTGAAAGCTACAACCTCCCTTAATTATATCAAGGTGGTTTTTTGGGGATTATCATTAAAATTACTGGACCTGATCTTCCCCTGTCAAGCACAGCACAGAAGTCAGCAGAACTATACATATGTAAAATCCTACTGCTATCAAGGGTTAAGGCTGAGCTCTTGAAGCACTGCTCTCTGGGCTTCCCAAAATCTCTTAAATGCTGTGTCTGGACACTGGTAACACCAGATACTGCCACATGAAAACTCTTATCAACAGGTTTCCCCAGTTTTTCAGGCTCCCAAACCCCCAGCAAAAAGCTGGAAAATCTGGAAAACTGTGTTCCTATTCCAGACCTCTGGGGAGTGCTGCAGAAGGCAGAAAACACAGGGACCTTGGTGGTCTCACAGCACTGGACACCTGAGAACGTTCATCAAAAGGACTGCATGGTGCCATATGGTATGGGACATCCCCATGGCTGTCTGGGGCAGCTGTCCTATTTCTGTCCCCTCCCATCTCCTTGAGCCCCCAGCTCTTCACTGACAGAGCGGTAGGAGAAGTTGGGAAGTCCTTGACTTTGTGCAAGCATGCAAGCACAGCTCAGCAACAACTGCAACATCCGTGTGTATCAAAATTGTTTTTCTCCTAAGCCTCAAACACAGCATCACACCAGCCACTATGAAGAAAATTAACCCTATCTCAGCCAAAACCAGGACAACCTCCAAGCCCAGAACTACTTTCCCTGCAGTGACTGTGGAAACATATTCTCAGCCTCATCCAGTTTCAGGACCTGGACAAAAGCCATAGTTTTCAAAGAATCATAGAATCATTAAGGTTGGAAAAGACCTCTAAGATCATCTAGTCCAACCATCAATGCATCGCCACCACGTCCACTAATTCCCACGCTTCAGACATTTCTCTCATTAAGGTTGGAGGGGGGGAAAGAAAGCTAGGGCACACAGAGCGAGTTAGACCTGCTGTTCCCACCTGTCAAGTATGTTTTAATTATTATTATTATTAGGTTTGTTATTTTAAAAAAAAATATATATATATCCCCATATGTGACAGCTGAATTCAGCAAATTACCACAGCTGAGAGTCAGCAAGGGAGAGACAGGAGAGCAATATCACGCTCAGTGGAATATTTAACAAGCGCTGATTGCCTGGAAAGCTAACTTGGTGAAACCTGCAGGAAAAAAAATAGCAGCCTTGTAAAAAAGCCAGCAAACAGCCTGCTGAGAGTGGAAGTGGGGAGGAGTGAGTAGCGTGAATATCCAAAGCCTGCATCCACCCAGTCTCCTATGCAGCTTTGGCTACCAGAAGTGCAACGTGGGGCTGAACTCTACAGGCAGGTGATGTCTGTAAGAATAAGTCAGTGAAAGCCACTACACTGGGCTGTATTTGCAGATCTGAGCACTTAGCAGTGTTTGGTGCACTGGAAAATCTACCCCAGGGCACCCATTTATGAAAGAAGAACCAGAAGGGACAGCTTTCAAGGAGTGCCTGCAGTGCCAGCAGCCTGGGACAAACCCTGTTCTTCAGGTTACCACCCCATACATTGGAGAGGGTGCCCCTAATGCTGTGCACAACACCTTCAGCAGTGGTGGTCACCACTTTATCCTGTCTGGGCATCGTCTGCTCACCTAGGGGCTCCCTGCCCAAAACTAAGTTCTCACGTGCTTCAGGTTTCACAGCTGAAGGCTTTGCCATAGACCACCACCTGCTTTTATTTTTCATGCAGTCTTCATAAAGGTTGCCACAGGTGTGGTGGAATCTCTTCCAGTTAACTGCAGCTATCTAAAATTTGGGACTCCAGCAAGTTTACCTCTTAGTCATGGAGCGCATCTTCCAAGCATGGATCACCCCAACTTAAGTTAGTCAAGTGGAAGCCTCTGTTTTCCCTGTCTGATTAACCCTGTTCAGTTGATTTGGAGGAGTGACACCATCCTAAAGCCCAACTAAGAAAGTTGTGAAGAGTGTGTTCCAGAGATCTATCACAGCTTTAAGGAACCTGATGTTCACTGATTTTTGTGGGCTTTGGACTCATTACCATCCTTGCCAATATGTCCAAAGCCACCTGGCAAGCCCCAAATGGCTTTCCAGCAAAGCCAAATTCACATCTGCATCACATTTTCTACCTTCTTCAGGAAGAACTGGAAAACAGAGACACTGATTCCTTCACATTTTTGACATTAGGGGAATTTTTTAAGGACAGTCTACAAAGCATTTTTAAAAATCTAATACCAGCTTTTCTACTTCATGGAGCTTTGCTTAGCTTTGATTTTGTTGTTGTTATTCTATATTTTTATCTTCCTTTGTGTGTGTGTGTGTGTGTGTGTACTTTCTTTTTCTTTTGCATTTGTATGGGTAAAATCCCAAGACAATATTATAGTGCTTTGAAGTCCTTCCATTATTTATGGATTTTCTTCTCCTTGAAATCAAACGTAGGTAGATTTGCTGCAGTGATGGACATATTCTAGCAAATCAAAATAGCTTTTAAGTTCTGTGGAGCTCAAGAGCACAATACTTTCTTTCTTAAACCACTCTCAATACAAAAAAAAATCACGGCTTCTAGTGCTTAAGCTTATTCAACTCATTAAGAATGGATTCTCTGCTGAATTATCTTGCAAAGTTAGTATGGAAATGTTCTTTGTTTCAGTGGATTGAGCAGATATTATGCAGCTGTAACCATGCAGAATTTCACACTAAGTTTTCACAAATCCAGTTCTACTCCTCAGCATCTTATAGAATCATAGAATGGCTTGGTTGGAAAGGATCTCAAAGACCATCCAGTTCCAACACAGGCAGTTCCACAGGCAGAGTGGCCAACCACTAAATCAGGCACACCAGCTCAAGCTGGCGAGGCTCCATCCAACCTGGCCATGAACATCTCCAGGGCTGGGGCATGCACATGCACATCTGGCCAGCCCATGCCAACACCTCATCGCTCTCTCAGTAAAAAATTTCCCCAACATTTTGTTCAGATCCTTTCCAGTCTGCCTAAAGACAAGCATCAGATCCAAGAACTCCCATTTCAAACATCTACTCATGCAAATCTCATCCTGACTCATAAAAAGTGTTTTCACAGAGCAGTTCAAACTCTCTGACAGAAGGTTGGCATTTTTTTTTCTTTTTTGGTCACCCAAAACACTAGTTGCTTTGCAGAGGTGGCTTGTGGACATTAACCTCTGAACCTGTTAATTCTCTCCATGGCAACACAGTGGGACTTAGGGAAAAATAAAAAGAGAAGGGAGAAAGACAGAGAGAAAGCCTTTGGGAGTAAAATTGAGCCCTGGAGGGATCAAAGGTCACAATTACCAAAATCAGGACGAGAGCAAGAAGAGGAAACGCTCACCAAAATGAACTGCTTCAATAAATGAAAATGACTAATTATGGAGGTAGAGAGACATCACACCAAGAATAACCATAATGAGCTTTGATTACACTGCAGCTCTCACATTTTATTCTTTCAAATACCCACCACACTCTTTGAAATTCAAGAGTTCTCTTATGTTAACATCAAAAGGTAAAAGTGCTCTTGGCACTGTGTACTTAGTCACTGTGAGAGATGATTAGCAAATTAAAAAAAAAAAAAGTCCAGGGCTTAAGCAAAATAAATAAATAAATAAATAAATAAATAAAATACCCCAAAGTGCTAATTATACAGTTTCTGAGCAACACCTGGCTTGTTTTTGCTCCTTTAATCAGCTTCACTTCAGTTATGGCACAGAATCTGTACAGAGCTACATGCTGTTGGAGGAAGGAGGTGTTGGCTCTGCTATTTCCCTGTTCTGAGAGCACTGGAATGCAGGCAAGGTATCTGCACGTGAGCAGGAGTGAGGTGTTGGTTGTGCAGAGCATCACCCTTCTTTCTTGAAAGCGCCAGGAAAGTGACAGGTGTAATATTCTACCCTCTAATTAGGGATCTAAATATTGGATGTGGTATTCACAGCACTCGCACTGGGACGCCTGCCAAAGGACATGCTTTGGTTTGTCAGCAACAAGGTAAATAATGAAGCCTCCCTGTTCCTGCTCTGAGGTCTCCAGCTGCAAATTTGAGGAATAAATATATGAATAAATCAATCTCCTCAGTGGAGAAGGGTGGAGAGAGAAGGAGAAAAAGACACTGAAATTATCCCTAAAAGGGGTCTCTTATGGCTGCTTCTTCCCCTCATTCCTCCTGGGGTTTACACATACAGTCCCATTCCATGCTACTGACGAGTCACCACCTTTATTGCAATAAGCTTCAGAGCTGGACACAAGTGAAATTGAACACAGATGCAAAATAAGAGACTTACTCGAGGTCACTACAAAAGTGAGCAGCTCCAATAAGAACCCAGCAGTAGTTTCCACAAATGTGAAGAACCACTTTGCTATTCACCATCTCTTTCCCTCTGGACAGTTCTCTTCTGTGTTATGATACTCAGTCCTTACTACCTGGGCACTTTCAGGTATAGCAAGCATAGCTGCATACACATTCACAGATGCTGACAACATCGTTTGCAGAGATTTGGGCATACCATTAGCTTAGCTTTTGTTGTTTTTTTTTTTCTCATTCTTCCAACTGGCAAATGGAGAGAAAGGATCACAAAACCTTTAATTAATCCATTATTCCACACAGCCTGCTGGCTTTTCTCAGCAGTTTGGATGACGCAAATGGCTCATCAGCAAAGTGTAGCAAACGCCTGTGACGTGTCTGGTGTAAGGGCTGCTGCAGAGGCTGCATGCTGGCATCTCTGCGTCATGGGCTAGAGCATTGCCATCTCTATCAGGAGCCAAGTGCAACCACAGAACCTGCTATGCACCTCAGCCTCAGTGCATGTTGGGCTTTTGGGATCCCAAGTGAACACGGCAGGGCTGAAATCTCGGCAAACAAGAGCTACCCCTATGTATCTACACGACCTTAGAGCCTACAGCTTGTTGCTATAGGAATAGCACCATCCTTCCTCTTATATACACGGTCCTGTGGGAAGAGCTCCCTGGTGCCCTGGTTTGGACAATCCCAACGATCACCCTTGGCACAATTCCTTCCTCCTGCAACTGAGGTTAATAGGCAGTGTTCATTCTGCAGCAGAGGGGGAAACTTAACTCACTTGGAAACCAGGTGTGTAATTGCAAATCTTCCACCAGCTTCCAACAATCACCTCTCCATTCCTCACCTGCCACCTGGGTTATATCAAGAGTGCAGCATGGAGATGTAGTGATGAGA